ACATTTGCCTTTAAGGGCTCTGGCCTGTCCTTTTCCCATACAATCTTTTCGCCCCTGGTTACAGCGACGATATTTAGACAGTTCTGAGTGCTGCTTGAAACGCTGCTTGTTTTTATGCTTGTGAGTACACAGTGTACAATATTCATCTGGATCTATTTTATCACTAATTCCAGCTTCAGTAGCTGCATTTACTCGAGGGATTACTTGGGATCTATTTCCGGCAACGGTTCAGAGTGACGACATCATAGACTCGAGACTTGAAAATTTATTTTAATTGATATTATACCAGAGATTGGAAGAGTTACATACTAGCTTTGAGTTTGATTTAGAGATACGATAAATGTGTTTACTATGCGAGGATGTTTACTGATGTTTAATGGATAGTAAATTGTAAAGAAATTGCTATAATTCTACATGTGTGGCGGTAATAGATACGAGAAAAATATAACCTGCATTTGAGATATGGTCATCCACTCGAATGCTAGTGTGAAATAAATGCTAATGCGCATTAAACTTTCGATGAAGGATGTATTGATAACAGTGATATAGAATGGGGGATTTGATAGTCAAATTAGCCCGACTTATGCCGGCATAGTCGAATTCTTCACCTTCCAGAGGTGCTGGTGTAATCGCTCAGTATGCTCTGCATATCTGGGATAGCCAAGAAGAATCGCATCCTTCGCAACGGCATCTTGCTGAGCGCGGCCCAGTCGATTTCGATTGACACATGGGCTAGGTCCGTTCCTGGCACGATAGATCAAAAGTTGAAGTTTGGGTCTCTTCTATTCAGTCTTTTAACAACTTCCAGATTGAGTTTGACTGGGAGGACTTTAAGACTCACCAACAACCCTCCAAAATCAAAGGTAAAATTCCTTTCGCTTTCAACCTTACTTACATTGTGTGCAGGACTGGGAAATTGCTCGGCCTCATTTTAGACAAGCACCTCGACCGCGACATCAACATTATCAACTTTTCGACACATTCCAAAGACGGCGCGAACGAAGAAGCCTCACCCAGACAACGAACAATGTACGACAAAATCTGGGGCACCTATGCCTCGGTTTTGAGCTCTCGATTTCGGAATTTCAGCCCTCTCGAATGGGGGTTGAGCGCAATGCAGAGGAGAATTTGGGATGAACGATATGTGATTTTCAACAGGCTATTGGCACAGTTGGTCGGGTGCTAGATGTGCTTTCTAGAAGTGGTAGGTTGGATTCCTACACGGCCTGTTTAAGAGGGGACTACGGCTGCTCGTCGTGAAAGAGTACAGGAGGAATTATTGAGGTTTTCCCACAAAGGTTTTCCCTCAATACATGGTCTTAGGATCATGGTGAATGCGTTCCTACCTATTCGACTCGATGTAACTGGCGTGAGCCACGTATTTGGAAAAGTCAGGCACCGGATGGGCTTTGCTGGAGAATGGAGGAACTTGTATTCTAGATGTCCTCCATGCGTGTCATGTCCATTGGATGAAGGGTGTAAGCCTGGCACGATAAATATAATCATCATCATCATCATCATCATCATCATCAAACTTAGGCGGACTTACAAATAAGTTATTCTTGGCATTCCAAGATATATCATATTTCAACATCTCTAACTACCGTTGTAACTTTTGCTACCGCATTATCTTTCCTCATTCTGTGGATCCTGTATAGATTTACAGGGCACGAGTTAGCTGGATGTAGGAAATACGGCACACACGTAATCGTAATTATCCTATGACCTCACGCACAGGAAATCGCACGGTCAGAGCTCGCGACCACAGCAGTAGATCTACTAGTTGAGGAGTAAGGAGGAATCAAGGTATATAGACACATAGACATCCTACACTTGTAGGATATAAAATTCATGTATTAATCTCAAGCTCTACACAAGATCCGTTGTATTTAGGAGCCACGAGACACCCTTTCATTCTTACGCCCACCACACCATTTACTAAGTATACAACGCGCGCTCAGAAACCTCAATTCTCAGCATCATTATCGTCGTCTTGATCTTACGTATTATCGGAAGAGTATCTTCGCCGGAAGGGGAGATGACCCAGCTCAAAGTTAAAGAGGTGTTACTCGGTCTCGGCTCTGCAAACTCTACAGTGAGAGCTGGAGGTTCGTAGGGGACACTACTGACAGGTGTTGAGTTTCATCCCCCTAAACATACAACTGAGACTAGAATAATTTATACCGAGTATGTAATTATTCTGAGGAATCTTGATCTAGAGAAACACAATCTGGTTCAATGGCTCGAGGTATATGGGCCGGACCATATCACGTGTAATAATCTATATCGAAATCGATCTCAATCAGAATAAGAATCTTAGTTCATGTCACCATCAACAGCTGCAAAGGACAGTTTCAACATTTCCTAGTATACGGCGACTAATCGGGTTAAATTTATTCAGATTCAAACAATTAGTAGTAACATAGTATTGAGCAGATTCCGAAACTTGGAGAGCAGCCAAATTTTACCAAAGTAGAGAGTCTGGACGGCAAAAACTGAGTTTTTAAGGCTCACCATTCTTCCTACATCGTAACCTGACAAGGAATCAAAGCAGTTTGGCGATGCAAATACGAAGTGAGCACATGGGGCTTAACTCGTATTTACACAAAAGAAAAGTACCCCAAGTATTAAGTCCAGGCTGTCCATGTGGATTCCAATCACAGAATCCCAGGCATATTATTATGGCCTGCCCCCGATGGTCAAATGGTGGAGCTGAGATCTAGAGATAAGCCAAGGATCGGTCCTACGAAGCGATAATAAATAATCCTGGAGATATCAAGAGGATAACACAGTGGATCCTAAATCATGGTTGGATAGAGCAATTCAAGATGACGAAGGCGGTCGAAATGCTGCTGAGGGAAAGGAAAAGGTCAAATAATGCTTGGGTGGGTAGTGAAGATCTGGTTGGTTTACATAGATGGCACTATAGTGTAACTGCGCTTCTCGAAGAAAATATGTGCGAACTGTAGACAACAAGCAGAAAGGTGTGGGAGGTTTTCACTCTAAAGGTTTCCTCCCGGGTAAATATTATAGGCTGTAGACACCTGCATGGTCCCATAGGGCGCCAAATCAGGATAATGATATCAAATTCAAATTCAACATAGTATTGACGCGAGATATTTTTACGTGCCAGATACAAAAATTTCGGCTTATCACCAATTATCTAGATTACTCATTGTCATGATTCTTTTCCATCATCTTCTCATCTACTCTGTACCATTTCTGGAGCTGATGTCCAACGATAGATCCCAACACTGTTCATGGAGACTTCAAAGCCCTGCATGAGTGTACTTTATTCCCGCGAATGGTAAGAATTGTATCTATGGTAGCTCTGCTATAAAATTACAATTTTAGATTAGATCAGATACATTTCATAGTCTAAACTGAGTCAATAACTTGTAAGGCTTCCGGGATCCATCTTGAAGAGACTAGCTTCATTTAGTAAATTAAAAATTTTATTACTAAGTTGCATACTTCTGGATGGTGAGACATAGATCTGTCTAGAATCACATCATTCCGTAGGCTGTTGAATGGATTTACTAACTCTTATTAGTATTGGGGAAATGCTGGGCTGAGCCAATCTATGAGTGAAGCGAAAATAAAGTCTTTTGCATTGAATAGGCGAATGGGATAATCTACGGCCAGAAAGGTGTCAGGGAGTTGAGTTTGCGGTGAATGAGCTGGAGGGAGAATTTACGCTTCATCAGATGCATATCGGCTTCCATGGACAGTGGGACTTGGCATTCGTTAGTGTTTGGGAGAAGTCTGAGAGGGCCCGGTCATTGAAGCAGAACGTGGCTCAAAAGTTTCTCGAGAGTTAGGCGGATACAATCCGACGAATTTGACGAATTTTTTTATTAGAGTCCCTTCTGAGTCTAAGACTTTGGAGGACAATTGGAAGAAAACTAGGCACTTGTCAGTGGTATCTCCTTCTAACCACCAGCTTTCACTTCAAAGTCTACATGGCCAAGATTGAGTAACACCTCAATCTTCACTTCGATGAGAAATTTCAATTGCACTCACGGGTTGTATCGTCTTAATCTCTCGGCGCAATCCCTTTATCACCACTATCATGAAGCTAACCTCCATCAGATCAGATGTTCAAGTCGAAGATCTACTCATGCCCATCCTTGATCATGGAAAAACCATCCGATAAGTTTCCGGGGTGTACCCAGCACTGGATACAGCAATGGTGGATTAGATCAAGTTGGCCTCTAATGTTATAAATGAAAGGAGATCAAATTGTATATCTGTAGCTGTGCTGCTGGCCTCTATGGGCAACTACTGTACTGAATGTCTATCCATCATGGCTTTTATACAAGTGGAATCTTTGCGTAACAAAAGAGGGCAGAAGCAATGTACAAGGTGAGGCCTGGGTCAGAGAGGATCCCAATGTACTAGATAGCCACAGACACAGACAGGACAGCGAAACCAAAACAGATTAATTTCTCAGTGGATAATATAAGCTATCGTGCCAGGTACAGGGCACCAGACCTAGAAATTGGGCCTTTGTCAGTTATTTTCCTGATTTGTTCTGGATTAGGCATCTTGGAAGTATTGAGTCTACCGGGATCAACTTGCCGTGTCATGTCAAATTAGATGCAGGCCTTAGTCTGGCACGTTCAAATTACAATCAACGATATAATAATACATAGCAAAATAGAGTCCCGGACACCTGTCAGATCACTTCTCTTCAGCTGATGTTTTAGCTCGTGAGTGGAGATTACTGTATTATTATAGGCCGATCTATCTAGGATGAAAGTATTCTAGAGAAATGACACGCATGAATCGACCTTTGTTGGGTAAGCAACAAGAATTATCAAAACTACTAGGTAAGGTAATGTAATGGAAGACTTGTTAATGGAAGGGAAAATCCATCAGTCTCTGCAATAAGTCCATACGATTCGACGCAGTGGTTGCTTCAAATAGAAGCGGTTCTTTTTTCTGTCCAACACTTTAAATGAATATGCTCCTCGCGGCATAAGCCAAATCAATTTACAATGGGGAAGCACTTTCTCATTAGTATCAATGTGTTGCTTCATACGTATCTTCACATCACTTCCAGCTCAGCATCGCCAACAGCCTTAGTATCTAGCCCGCCTGAGGTCAAATACAGCGACTACATCTGTGACGATAACTACCTCAGGGGCAAATATCTAAAGTTAAACATAGAAGCAGCTTGGATCGCATTGTATAATAGCGAACCAACCCATAGTTTACCAGCACATGTGGGTGATTCCTGGCCTTTCGCAAGCTCTTTTGGGTCGCTTTTTGTCTGGCCTATTTTAATGGAGAATGAATCCTTAGGCACTGGTAAGCTATGAAAACCTAATTTCCAAATCGACTCAAGCTCCCTCATGGATATATGTTGACGCTGGTTTTATCAGCCGCGGTATCCAATGTTCGCATCATCATTAACTTTCGAGCTACTTTGGTTGGAATAGTGACCGTTCATCAATCCGAGCTCCGCTATTGTCAAGAAGTCTTCAGCCCGATGAACTCTGATATATTCGATCCGAATTTACATTCCATTATTGGGTTCAAATGTGACAAACAGGTCTTCGAGTATGACTACGTTTACAATTCATACAGTGCGGCTCTCAAATCATTACAAACAAGTGGATTAAAACATTCAGAAATCTACCCAAGAATGATTATCCAACGAGATTCTCCATATCACAATTTCGCAATATGGCCTCTCTTATCACGCAATAAAATATACACACCAAACGGTAAGATCTATTCGTACCGAAACACCCAAATATTTTAACAAATTCTAAATAGATGAAAATCTGGAAAATTTTGTCGCGTTCAAAAATAGCCCTGATTCTCTAAATGTCTTCCATTTAGCTGATGGAAAAGAATTTGCGTGTCCTATTATTTGGAAGAATTTTGTGCCCACTTTATCGATTCCAAGTTCCTTGATAAACGGTATCTTAGACCCCAAAGATAGTCAAATAGCTGTAGACTGTAACGGGCAAATGTTTAAACACAAGTACATTGAGGATAACTTGCAAGCAGCCATCAGGGGCATCAAACATCAGCAAGCAGGAGGCAGACCGTACCTATATCCACAATTTGCTGGGGATGACATTCAAATATTTGGATCGCGGGTTTGGAAATGGCCCCTTCGACACCCATCGAATTTCTTTGAAGGTAAGTTTGAACTGATATTCGATGTTTGGTTTTACTAATTTGCTAGTGCGCCAACCAACTGTGGTATTCTTTCTAACCATAAAAGAATCCAAAGAATTTCATGGTGTATATTTCTTTAAAGATGGCAGGTACTCAGCTTGCAAATTCCGATGATAAATTGAGGTTCTACGTAATACGGGCCATATTTATGGTTTCCGCCAACTTTAAAAATTTTCGTTCGCGTGGAAGAAAGGCGACATCATTCTTATCTGTTAGTCGAGAACTCAGGGTCAACAACGGCTCATGACTAATGGATTGGAATTTGTGAGCGGTTGCGTATCCAAGTACAGTAAGCTCAAGTTGGAGGGCAAGACTGAACACCTGTACGCGGTGCTCTCTACGAACCTGGGAGTGAAATATTCTCCCAGAGCCAAGTTCAGTCAAATTTCGCAATATCAAAGAAGTTGGCCCACGAGGCAAAAATTCAAATTACTACACCATGTCAATCTTTCACTCCCAAAGAGTCCGATTCTCAACTAAGCTTCATCAAGTCTACAAGTACGACCTAGTACATCCTCGTTTCAATGACCACACCTCTCGTCGACTTTCTCTGGCCTCAGCCGGTCACCAAATACACGCCCACGCCGATATTTATACCCGACGGAGGAAGCAAAGCGTGGAGCACAATTTTGGGAGATAGCTCTTTGGGACGGACGTGAGAGGGATCAGGACAAGTTTACAAGATGATGCAGAAGAGGGATACATTCTCGACGGGCGTGAAATTTCGAATTTTGGAAAGAGTTTTACGAATTGAGCTTTGTGCGCGCCAAGACTTCGCTTGCGAGAGTGCAGCTGACACTATAAACACAAGCCAACGATGGAAGGTGTTGTGGTCCGCCTCCTGGTGGTGTTCTCTGGTATGGTTTGAGTAGCATGGGCACCTACTCCACTTGGGAAGGAGACATCTCAGATTACATTTCGCGCGGAGAAAAGTTGATGGATGACAGAGGCATGTCTGGATAACTCAGGGTTTTTGAGACGTTCCCCTGGGTGGGTATTCACGGATGAGGGTTGACTTGGGGTGAAGAAAAAGCCACCATAACTTCGCAGTGGTATTTGCAAATGAAATCTGAGGCATGAGTGCTCCTATTGTAAACTGAGTCATCTTTTCTGTACTTTTCTTTGATATTGTGTCATAGCTAGATAGCTGCATACGCAATTAAAATCTGATGCAAAAAAAAAAAAAAAAATAAGCTCAAGTTATATAGTCATGTGACATGATAGTAGTGAGGAGTATGGGGCATAGGACTAGGAGTTATGCAGGCATGGAATGTGATACAAGTGTACATATACAAAGGAAGGGCAGTCTTTCTAGTAGACCCTGGATAGAGAACCTTGGTGATCTAGTTACAATACGAGATTGAGCCAATCTCAAGACACGGAATTACCTTCTTCACCTATCCACAATAATCTAGGAAATAAATATGAAAAGTAATGGCCCGGCTTAGTACCTAGCGCCTGATCTGAGTCCCCTGATATCTTCAACCATGGGACTAATTTCTTCATAAAAACCTCGACTTGCGATAATCGTATTTATTATGGATGTAAATGGCTCATACCTCCACCTGTCAATGCAAACGGATGACAAATGCGGAGGGCAAGACTGAACACCTATACGCGGTGTCCTCTACAAGCCTGGGAGTGAAATATTCCCCCACAGCCAAGTTCAGTCAAATTTCACAATATCAAAGAAGTTGGCCCACGAGACAATGATTCAAAATTATTAACCGTGTCAATCTTTCACTACTTAAGAGTTCGACTCCTATCTAAGTCTCAAATCTACATGTACATCCTCATTCCAATAACTACACCTCTCGTTGACTTTCTCTGGCCTCAGCTGGTCACCAAATACACGCCCATGCCGGTATTAATACCTGCAAGAGGAAGCAAAGAGTGGTGCACTAACCCGAGAGACAGTTCTTTGGGATGTACGTGACAGGGATCAGGAAAAGTTCACAAGATGACGGAAAGGAAGAATATAACCTCGAAGGGCGTGAAATTCTGAAATTTAGCAAGGAGTTTTACGAATTGAAGAGCTTTGTGCGCGCCAAGACTTCGCTTGCGAGAGTGCAGCTGATAGTATAAAATCAAGCCAAAGATGGATGGTGTTGTGGTCCTCCTCCTGGTGATGTTCTCCGGTATGGTCTGGGTAGCCTAGTGTCAGAATCGTTGGGTTAGTTCGGAGGACACGGGTCAGCGCAGAACGGGACGGATTTGGGGTATAAAGTAAAGCTTATAATTTATTAAGGAAATAATGACCCCTGAGTCATTGAGGTTGTAGAGCGCATTGATTCAAGTAACTACCGAAGTGAAACTAAGTACAGAATTTGTAGTCACGTGTGTACCAACAACGTGGCCTACTTGATAGCCCCAATTGTTCCAAATTCTAACATAATCAGCGTCATTTGTCTCAGTAGGGACTTAATAGGGCTACGCGTCCAGCGCGTGGCTCGCCAGACGTAAAATAAAGATCATCATCTAACATAATCATTATTATTAATTCATTTAATTGTCCTGTTTGAATCTATGACTATATAGGACATGCAGGTCCTCTCTGCCTACAGGCCAAAGATACCTATGCCAGTAGTGTATCTCCTCCTATGCCTCCCATACAGCTCCCCTCAAACAGTACCAACCCTCATAAGTCCTCATTTGATCATACACTCAGAGGAGCCCTTTGCCCTTCATTATCTCCCCTCACCAGCTGTTATGAAGGAAAGAGCTTACGGAGGTTAATTGGCAGAAGGTTTACGGATGATTATCAATGAATCAATGTGAACTGCTGATATTCTTGGTATTCAGAACTATGAGGATTTTGGAGGTAGAAAGCGCTAATTATATACACATCTGTTGGAATATTTTGGAAATGGGAGTAGAAGGTAACAAATCATTGAAGGGTTCCTTCTCTACTCTCTGGCTATCGAGTATCTAGAATACATAGTTTTCCTCATTTGAAACCCTACTAGATAACTCGCTGGCAATAATGCTACCACCGAAACATACCATAACCTGCTCAGGACAGATAAGATTAGTATATCATCGGAAACATGAATATAAACCCAATTCAAAGTATAAGTTATGTAAAATCCGAACAAAAAGATATTTTCCTTGATACAGATCATCTATCAGCATTAACTTCTCCGACCCGAGTTGTCACAGGGGCAACTAGTTAGGGCGTAATCACGTGCGAATTATGGCGTAACTCTAAGCGAGGATACTTATATTTAGATCTCTGCTTGTAGGTTGATTTCGTTCCTTGAGCAACTACAATAATCTATTCTGAACATCCGAGTATTTTTACAACGCCAGCCAGTGATAGTTAGTTGCACCTTTCTTCACACGCGTTTCATATCAAAATTTAGGCTACCAGGAATAATTACAGCGCGTAGCGATTTAAAATAAGCCTTATGGTAGACTCAGTGATTCAGAGATTTTGCTACTAACCCAAGACCGAGATATATATCATAATCCGAGACAAGATAGAACCGAGTAATTAAAACAAAAACAAAAAAGGATAATCCTTGGGGAGAAGACAGCAACATTGAATCCGCTCCTTCATACACTCGTGACGATAGACATGAGAGGGCCTGGAGAGCTTTAGTGGAGGTGATAACCAAGTACCCTGCAGTACAAGAAATTTTTATTGACGTCAATTTTGAAAAGAAAGTTGGCCTTTCTATATTGGCTAATGCCCCAGCAGAAGTGAAAGATATTTTCCATGAACTTTTCGGAGTTATTAATGGACACTGTGTGGCCCAGAGGCAAACTCTACATGCCTTACAAAGGACGGATGAGGAGAGAAACGACGAGGCTCAAAAACTAAGATCAGTGTACAACAAATAGAAAAATGAACTTTCGTTGCTCAAAAGTCAATTATTCGAGGTTCCAATTAAAGAACAGAAACCCCCTTCCGTAGCTCCCACAGTTCCCCAAGCCTCTGTCATCCAACAACACCCGGCGCAATCATTTCCGCCAAGTATGATTTACTTGGAGAAGCCACCATCCATAGACCCTTTCTCAGATGATCAGAAAGACGTAGTAAAAAGGCACAACGATTACAATGCTTGGAAACTTAAACTAATCTCTAAGTGGAATACTAGCGGAGGGAACTTTGATTCTGAGTTCAAGAAGATCTGTGATGCAATCAATTGGCTCAAAGGCGATGCTTATACTCGCCTGCAGTCTAAAATTGCTTTATTGTTCTCAAGTACCAGTGATCCATCAGGCTGGCCATGGTCTACTTCTGCAGAACTTTTCCGAGAACTAGACAAAAAATATCTTACAGCTGACATACGCTCCATAGCCAGAGGAAATTTGAATGATCTGAGAATGACTGGGAAATGGAAAGACTTTCCATCATTCATTTCAGAATTTGAAAGACTTGCAGATGAAGGAGAACTCAGTTCATCTATGCGAGTATATCATCTCAGGCGTAAGGTTTCAGAACCTCTACAAGTAGCGGCAAAAAATCATATTCCCCTGTCTTCCGAAGATGACGTATATGCATGGATAGAGATTTTTTCTCAATTTTGGAAAAATCAGGAGTCAAACCGCCATATCGAAAGCAGCTTCTTTGGCAACCCAAGTGGATGGAATTTTTCTAAGTCCCATAGTAGGGAAATAATGTCTACAAGTGATCCCATGGACTTGGATCACATGCACTTGACTAGAGTCACTGTGACCCCGGCTGAATGGCAATATCGAAGAGATCACGGTTTATGTAATCGATGTGGTGGAAGAGGTCACTATTCAAAGGAATGTACTTCGAAATTGCAAGAAAAAGCAAAAGGGGCCATGATACTGCCGATCGTGATTTGGCATCAGCGGAATTGAGTCGCGGTAACCGTGGGAGTCAACAAGGTAATTTTAACTATAATCGGAGTAGTCAAAGAGGAGCATTCAGTGGTGATAATCAATATAACTATTCTTCTGCTCCATTTAGTCGCCGGAGCTAAGGTGGAAGAGATCCTCAGCCGGGCTATGCAAGAGGACAAGATGGAACTAGAAATGCAAATTCCAGTAATTTTCCGCATTTACGGATGCAAGAAGTAAACGAATGGGGCCACAATTACGATTCCCCATATGAACAGCAACATAGCCTTGGTAGCCCTGTA